CGTCACTTTTATAATGATTTCCTGAACTATAACAACAGTAAATTCCTACCTTAGCCAGTTTTTAATATTAAATTTTGCCCCATAGAGAGCGCAACAAAAAGAAGAAAAAAAAATTATTTACATAAAGAGAAGGAAACTGAGGAGAGGATAAAACGTAGGAGAGGCTAGAACAAGAAGTGATTTACCTACTTCAAGCTGTTTATGAAATATATTGAGCATATTGAGTGTATTGTGTGCTTGCGAACGTCAGCTGACTTATTAGAGATGAAAAAGACTGACTCATGTTTTAGTCATGATCATCGTTTTAAAGGAATATTTTAAAAATTTGATTATTTTTGAGCATAAGTTATGAATATTAATTAATTAATAACCGAATCAATGTTAAAAGTGTTTGCATTAAAAAGAACGCATACAAGCATACAAACATACAAGCATTTCAAGTCGCTTTGATACATCGTATAAGTAAAATACTTTTCGGTAAAGATCATCATTAGTTTTCGGTCATTTTTAAATTCCCAATCATACGTCCACTGATGATGCTTTTCAGGCAACTAACTAATCATTTATTAAATCATAAATTTATTCATTCCTGCAACGTCGCCTAATTAAAAAGCCACTTGCCACTATAAACATTATAACCCATAAATTGAAATGAATCTCTTAAGCATATATACCCTATAATGCACTACAATAAGACCTATTAAACTAACACATTAAGTAAAGTAGAAATGGACGAGTTTTTTAAATGAAATCTCGTATCGGTGAAGAAAAACGTAAATAAAGATACACTAGAGACTATTTAAATTATTGTCTGCTCGATTACCACAGGAATTTTCGTTGGTTAAGATTATCTTTCCATAAGCAGATCAATACAGGTATGCAAGTTAAAAAAAACGCACACACACACACACACACACACACACATACACACACAATGAAAAGAAAAAAAAAACAAAAAAAAGATTTGAAAAGCTTTTAAAACAATTTTTCAGCGACTTCCTGCACAAACTAGGTGCTGACGTATGCATAAATCAATAGTAAATGCATACACATAGGTAAAACGCATACATAAAGTAGACGTATAATAATAATAATAATAATAATAATAATAATAATAATAATAATGCAGTGAACAGCAACTACTTGCTCGACGATATCGATATATTCAGATGCTTGCATAAGTGCGCATAGTGCACAAAAAAGTACATAACTCAGTATACCCTACAGCACGTGTTAAAAGGATATCTTAAGCTTGCATAGATGTTTGTGCCAGATCCTAAACTGTTTGGCAATTTTTATTAATATATAAATATATTCAATACGCGTATATATTGACCACGCATTTCTCCGGACGCAACTATCCAACTTTATCGTTATGGCCACTTCTCATATGAAAATTTTAGTATTTCTTAGCAGAAATCGATGAGAAGGGATATTTTGCCACACACACAACGCAGCAATTTTTTGAACTAACATACAACCATCCCCATACAAATATTTTTATAAGAAAATAATTTTGGTCATTTGACATAGTCATCAACTGTAAAAAATTTGGGTCGGCCCTTTCTTATCCTTCGCAGCAAGATCCAATTTCTGGTACTTTACGACTAAAATTGTGCAGTGAAGAATGATATTTCACGATAATAGCGCACAATTTTTCTAATTTTATGGCAATGTTAGCGTAGTGTAGGGTACCTAGTAATTGCACTTGTCTAACTATAATATTTCAACTTGTTTTATAGTAAAAACAATCTTCACTACGATCATGATGATGGACCGAAAGTTAGTTAGTTGCACGTCGAAGAGAACATGTTATATATGTATATGTATATGTATATGTATATATATATATATATATATATATATATGTGTATATATTATTGTTTAACATCATGTCTGTCAAGTTTTCCGATAAAGAATGTATGTAGTGTGAAGCAGGTCCTAACTGACCTATTTATTATATAATTGTTTTTTTTCTTTCTCTTTTTAATGAAATGTCAATAGAATGCGATAATGTATAATATAAGCAAATAGATAGTCGGTTATTGATTGGTAGAAGAGTTAACATTTTTCGTTATCTTAAACGTTGCAATATTTAGATCTTCTGCTCACACCTTCAAATTAAATATAAGTTTAATTTTATTTTATTTTTTTTTTCTCACATATTATTTTGATCAAATTATTTATGTCCGAAAATAACATATGCATTCTTAATCGAAATCAGTTTAATGCTGCTTTTATTCACTTTTATTTTGCATTTTTGTTTGGGTCTTTTGTTACTCCCGCCCGCCCCCCCCCCCTTATTTTTAAAGTAAATGCAATGCACAAGAGTTTTGTTAACATATAAAAAATAAAAGTTATTTGCTTCGCCTTTTGCAGCCATTAACAGATTAGTGGAATGTTGAAAGCAAAATTTTTAATTTTAAATAGCAACAAACATAAAATACAGAAAGCACACTCACTCTCACACTCACAGTTTTTATTACCCTCACCATAACGTCGCGCAACAAAAGGTTCACCATTAGAAAGCAGGTACAAAGTTGAATGAAAGTTTGCAATATATGTATGTAAGTTCAAGAAGATGCCGCTGATATTAAAGTTATATGATTTTGTTGTTACAGACGTACATCATGCATATAAATAATTCAATCAATAAAACGATGAAGACGTCTTTCAAAACAAGACGAAGAAGTTCTTTATGCAAGTAAGTTTAACTAACCCCGTAAGTTAAATTTTTGTTTGTCTTTAAGTTTTATAATGCAACACATTATTATTATATATTTTGTCCTAATTACGTGGGTCTGTTGCTACAACATCAGCTTCCATGAACACTATTACCATACTACTCTTGTTGTACATTATGTAAGCATATGGAATTATTCATTTTTGTTTTTGTTTCTGTTTTTGGTGTTTATTTATTTATTTATTTTTTTTTTTTTCACCTTTCAGAAATTCGCCATTCTGATCGTTGGTATTTCTCTCTTTGATAATATCTAGCAAAGTTAAACTGTTATTTAATGTTTAGCTCGTTTAGCTAGTAAACTTTAAAAGAAAAATATCAATAACAGCAACGAAAACAAAAACAATAACAACAACAACAACAACAATAGCGACAGCAACAGCAATGAGACCAACAGAAAAAGCTAAAAATATCCATAAAATATATATTATGGCCATGTTGGCTGGCTGGCTGACTGACTGACTGACTGACTGATTGGCTGGCTGGCTGGCTGGCTGGCTGGTTTGTGTAGTGTAGCCTAATGTAGTGTACTTGCATAAGATGCTACGGAATGCTGAGTATATTCATTTGTTCTTATTTCTCTACAATTGCTTTATAATGAAAGAAATTTCACTTTTCGACGGCCTATGATCGATGCTTTGAACCAATGAAAAAAGATCGATCCATTATTGTTAATTAAGGCAAGAAGAAAATTATTATAATTAGAACAAAATTTATAAAAAATTTTTATTGCGTTTTTCCGATTGCTCATACTCGTCATAATTAGGGACACTTGAAATTCGTTGTCGCTTCGAATTATTTTCTATACAAATTCTCGCGCTTATGGCTTCGATTCATTCGGTTTTATTGCATACGTACGAGTGCTGTTGGTATTCTTGTTGTTGTTATTATTATTATTGCTACTTTGTTTTCGAGTTGATCTTGGCAACTATTAGAGCTCTCTTTGCCCCATTGCAGTGTCACAACCTTCTCTGTATTTTGCTTCTTTCTATTTTGGTGCTACGGAAATGAGGTTACATAAGTCAGTGGATTGGATTTGAAATTCTTGTTTTACAACTTGTCGTTTCAACCGGCATTTTTTCATAATAATTCTATAATTTTCTTCATGCATTGCATATATGAAATACAATGATGCTCGAGTAAATGCTGGCTTTTATTTTTTTTTATGCATTTATTTGCTTTGTTTGTTTTTGTTCTTTTTTTTTTTTTTTTTTTTTTTTTTTTTTTT